GTTTCAGTAAATATGACAAAAAAACTAAACATTTTAATAAAAATTACCTACTGCAGCTTTAAATATAAAAAAATATATATATAATGCTATCAGTAAAATTCATTGTAAACTTTTGTTGTGTGCTTTTAGCCAAATTAATTACACTCAAATCTAACACTGGCAACCAGTGTTACACACCTACCATGTTGAAGTGTTAACCACAAAAGGGGAATGGCAAAAAACAGAAATGAAATAAAAGACACTAGATTATTTACATCATGGGTATATTGTTAACTCAATTTCAATATTTCATTTTGACATACCGTGATTATCGTCAATATTGGGATAGCGCAACAGCTGTAATCTGAATACTGTTAAATTAAATTTTCAAAAATTAATTTATTCAGTATTGCCATTGGTTCTGTATAAGCAGAACAAATGGAACAGGAATCACAAACAAATTCATCATTCATTCAAAAGGACTCAAACCATTATCAGCTATGATGCAAACAAGGAGACGAGTGATAAGACACATTTTCTTCTGAACAATAACTTTTATTGAAGATGTCTGTGAAGTAGCTTAATCAATACTTTATGTACAATGAATCAAAAATAGGTTCATTATTATCATTGTCATCACACCAGCTTGGATGGATACATATTATCATAGGACAATATATACTGTATGTTTGAACGACAGTAATGGTCTCAGTTTAGACGCAATCTCCAAACAGGCAATGGCAATATGAACAACAGCTTGCCCTGGTGTACATTTTCCTTTTGCTTCTGAGAAAGAATAAAACTAAAACTGTTTTAACTCAATTTGTAACGCTAAACTGATGCTGATAACCCAAGCAGAAATCAGAAATACATCGTGTGAAATCAGTATTTCCATTCTAAAATAGAAACAGAAATTTAAATTATCCCCGGTGAACCAAGGTGAAAAGTTTATTGATAATTGATAATATATATAATCATAAAGGACCAGTGTGTAGGATTTAGTGGCTTCTAGTGAGGAAATTGCAGATTCCAATCAACTGAAACAGTTCGCCTTTCAAGCATGTAGGAGAAACCACTGTGGTTGCAAAAACGCGTGAAAAACGTGAACGCCTCTATCTAGAGCCAGAGATTAGTTTGTCCTGTAGAAACATGGCAGATCAACATGGTGCTTCCTCTGTAGATAAAAACGTTGTAAGGTAACAAAAACAGTTCTAATGGTGATGAGGGATTATACACATAAAAATATACATTAATATTCTAATCACTTCATTCTTGACATAGATCCTCCTAAAATGTGTACACACTGGACTTTAATTTATATTACATTTGTATATGTATATATTATAACACATTTTTTTAAATGATTCAACATTCTGGAAAATACGCTCATTCACTTTTGTTTTAAAAGTGAGATGGGAAAAATTAGGTCTGTGTGTACAGCTGGAGTCAGGACATGGTTAGCTTAGCTTAGCACACACACTGAAGTCAACAT